CTTGGTAGTGTAGGTTAATGGATGGACTGGATGATCTTAAAAAAAAATCTTTTCCAATCTAAACGATTCTATGATTCTAAGGTTGCACAAATCTCTTGAGTAGGAGCTTTTATATGAAAAGAAAATGGGGAATCCCTGCTGCCTAGATGAGTTTGAAATGCCCTGCAAATTCACAGCTGACCTGCAGTTCTGTAATGAAATGCATGTTTGAACACATGAAAAAAACCGCTTGCATCATCTAAGCCTCACACCTATGGCCTGATTTTTATACTGCTGTTTCTTCAGCATCCTTGCACCATCTCCCTCACTTTTGAAATGTAGTCGGGGAGTGACATTTCACTGTTGGGCTACAGTCAGAGATGAGCCATGAGCTCCACTGAGCTCTCTTCAATAAGCAAGTAGCATTTGGGTGCATTTTTCTTTTGAACCTCAATAACCTGCATGATACCCGCCTACAGCACAGTCTTTCCTGCAGCATTGTTTTAGGTCATGACGCTGTGTTCACTTTGCTGGTGTGAGGTTTTCATCTCCTGGGGCTCCCGTCTCTCTGACAGTCTCTATTCCAAGCCACTTAGAAGTCAGGAGAGATGCGCTGAGGTATGCTTTCCCTTTCAGTGGGTCATGAATTTTTACAGCCATCTGCACTGTGTCTTATTTAGCACTACATTGTAGAGGCATTGCAGTCACAAGTGGGTCCTCTGAAACTTCTTGTGCTGTTGGTGATGAGCAGTAAAGTGCAGCTATGCCTTCTTGACGGCAATATTTTAATGTTTTCTATTTCTTCTGTTTCTTGTTTTTAATAATTTGGACTGTCCGTACTTTCAGCGAACATATGCAGTAAAATATAAAGGATTGTTAATTTTGTGATATAACTTACAGTTAAAGACAAAAGCTTTATTTTAAAAGACTTAAGTGTTTTAAAACTATTTTAGTAAGCATTGAAAGGCACAATCCTGCAAACAAATGAATAACTTTACTCAAATGAGTTGGCCTTTCCATTACTACCCAATGGAGTGAAGTTAATCACAAAGATTAATAGTTTAACATGTGCATTTACTTGGGAGATGAGGCAAAAAATTATTTTGGGGAGCTATTAATTTTAAATGGCATATTTCTGCTACATTACTTCAGAGCTGGGTTTCCATGAGAGAAGAGGGTTTCCAGGGGTTTTCCCCCAATGTTTTAATTTTTAAGACCAAAATCCAAACAGAATTCTTGTATTAGATTATGCTTCTTGTTAGACAAAATCAGTTATTTTGGTTGTGGTTCTTCACAAAGTAACAGATCTGCATTAATAGTTTTTCTTGCACATAGTTTACACATACTATGAGGCTTTGTGGTTGGAAAGGGGAAAAAATGATACCAAGGTAGTGAATATTGTGATTCTAAATAACTATTAAAAATGTTTTAAGTCCCCTCCAGTAAAAATGAAATTGCTGCAATCTTTCTGTCAAAGTCAAGTTGTGCCACAAGTTCAGTGGGAACCCAGTACGCTCAGAGAATGGTCCTTGGCCCTTCCTGGTTGGAAAGAATATTCTGTTTGATATTATGATATAGTTGTGAGAATATCACTATGTTGGTAATCCCAATATTCATTGTTACATTGCTGAGATCCAAATATCATGTTTTTTTGCGTTTGCTTAGCAACTCCTATTTTTGGTAAAAGGGTAGGAGAATTGTCATTCATTGGTATTTCATAACACATTTAATTCTTGGGAATAAAGGGCCATCTTTTCAAGTCTTTAACCAAGTCAAATTTGTTGTCCAAATTGACCAGGGAAAGAAAGACAATCTAGTGGACTTGTTGCCTTTGTCTTTCTCTGCTGTGGTTTCTTATTTGCCTATTATGGATTTACCAACAGAGCTGGTGGAGCTGTGAAGGCACCACCCCAGCACCACAAGGCACCTCTGTTCTGTGGTTGTGGCTATCACAGTGGTTTCAGAAGACATTTCCATTACATCTTTGTGTATGTGCAAACCGTTGTCCCCTTTGAGGAGTGGGTGTGCATGCCGACAGTCCAGCAGTGGCAGTGCTTCCACTCCCTGCATCTCCTCTGGGATTTGCTTGGGAGTTCCTTGATGTCTCTTCTCCTTGCAAAAGAAAACACAGGCATAACAAAGCCTGACCCAGCTAAGAACTTCAAAAGATGGCCCAAAGTAGCTGTTTCAGTCCATAATGAGACAAGTTTCTCAGTAACTGTTTTCAATTGTTTTAAGTGGTGCTGTAATTTATTCCAAGTGCACTGAGATGTATGTCACTCTTAGGGGGTATCCTATCCCTCTCCATCAGTGACTGACCCTACGCTCACGGCAGAAGCACTGGATCAGACCATTGCTGCATTCGACACGGTGGAGGATCTGCTCAAACACTTTAACCCAGACTCCTGGCAAGAAGATCTCGAGAATTTGTACACAGACAGTGGCCACCATTACCGAGGCAGGAGCTACCATGACAGGAAGTCCAAAGGTAGGAAAAGACACTCTATACATACTCTGGGACAAGACCAGGCTATTCCTTCACTCCTCACAGAAATGTCCATGGGTATGGTATCAGATTCTGGTGCCTGTGTTCCTGTTGGAACCACAGGGCAAACTACCACCTGTTAAAATCAGGGATAAGTCATTTAATCCTTAATCATTTTCTTACTGAGTAGGATCTCACCTGCGTAATCAGATTGAAAACTGCCCCTCATTATGCTGAATTCACAAATAAAAACATAGGCCCATGTGTAAAGGACAGATGGTTTTCAGCTTCACCCTCTTAAACATTGCTTTGTGTGTAAGGCATGGGGCTCCTAATTACCTGCACTATCATCCTCCTTTAAATACCCTGCTTAGGGATTGTTCTCTGTTGAGTGAGGAATAATCACTTTTATCACATTGTGCTTAGGGAAGCATCTGGTGCAGACACCTGTATGTGCAGCTGGTTTTTAGGATGTGAACATCTCACTGTTTTTCATTATGTTGGTGGGGAACATTATTATGTTTTAGCATCTTTGTCTGTAATTGAGCAAAGCACGCATTTCTGGGTTATGTTTCTTGTTTTCTTCTGTTAGTTCAAGTCATCCACCAAATGGTAAAGCAAAGGGTTGTTAAGCTAGTAGTACAAACACATAATGATAAAGAAACACTATTTAGAAGAGACAGTCATGCTCTGGGGTAACCATGCACCGAAGGGCCTGATGAAATTGCGCTTTCTGTGCAAGCACAGATCTAGGAGGTCTGTTAGGGTTCTCCAAGATGACAATTGCTGTAGTTTTCACAGAAGATCTGGAGTGAAATGCTTTATGTGAATTCTCTTCTTAATATTGTCTTCCATTTCCAAGATATGTATTCATATGCATTCTTCTTTATAACTTTATAAATATAATGCCCAAGTCACAGTTCTGATTCTGTGGAGTCTACAATTTATTTGCATCCCAAAACCCATCCCCACTATGTTAAGTGTGTGCTAAGCAGGCAGAGAGGATTATAATTCTATGTTTGTAACTTAACTTGCTATCAAATGATGCAGGTTTAATATGCTTTGATCTGAAAAAGGATATATATATAGGCTGCGTCTGTATTAGGAAAAATAGTGTCAAGGAGTGTTCCCAGGCCCTGAAATCCAATCATCATGTTGCTAATGTCAGCCTGATCTGTGCTTAGTTTTGGCCTAGGCCAAATGTCATTCTTGGAGGTCATTGCTGGGCAAAACCAGGAGCTGGCAGAGGCCAGCCGCCATTCATGGTGAGCAGTTTGCATGTGGCCACCCTGTCTTGGAGGGTAAGAGGTTTACGATAGGCATGTGGGCTGTCCCATGGCTGTTGACCTTTGTGCAGGAGAATGACCTCGGGCACATACAATGTATTAGTAGATATGCAGCCAACTAGGCCTACAGGTTCCAAGACATGTTGGCTGTCTGGTTTTGGGCTGAGCATTTCAAAGGAATCTGCGATAAAGCCCTGAGCACCCATCTGGTGAAAATTGAACCGCTTTACTTTGTTCCATTTTGGCACGTCAGAAATTTCAGGCAACCACAACAGCCCATGTTTTGAGAAAAACGTCACCTGACTGCTGCTGTATCTCTTCTGAGATCAGTTTGATCTCATTTAGGAGTCTGTGAAACATGAGCTGTGTGTCCCTTATTCCCAGGCTGGATTTGGCATTGATAGACATGTATACAAAAGACTTAAAGGGTCTGTTTTGATTTTGATAGAAGCTGATTAGAAACCTGGATCCTGTACTGGTTCTGCTCTCCAGATTTCATCTGATTCTCAAATCATATTTGTTCTAGTAGCCCATACGTTTAAATGACCACACATATCTAAAATAGCATTTGCTGCTTTATTGATACTGATCATGTAGGCTACAGGTATCAATCCAATCTGGTAGTGCTCGGAAAATTCAGTGCATAAAGGTTTCTCTATTTAGTACAAATGTAATTCAGCTCCTTGTGTAACAAAACATTGTAAAAGACATAAAGAGTTTTTCAGTTACTATTTTAACACTTCATTTATTTTAATAGGGTTTTTTTGTTACTGTTTTGGTTACAGGAATAAGTTTTATAGTAATTTTTCTTTTGTCTTCAAACTAACAGCCAAATTCCCTGACTGTTAGCAGCCCTCTGGACAAAAGTACCTCACCACAATCAAATCATTAAAAAATTTCAGTTAAGAATTTTTATTTAGTCATAAGCTTTTGACAAGATTAAAGGTTTGTTCTCAGATCATGTCAGCTTGGGTTTTATTCTTTATCCTTAGTTAGAACAGCCCTGAAGCAGATTAGATCAATTTGATATAATCTCTGCCTCATCTTTCACAGCATTTTTAGAACTTGTCATATAAATGGTATAAATGAATCATTAATGATTTCACTCCTATCCAACTCTCTGCCCATACCAAATTGTGCCACGAAATTGAGCTTAAGAGGCCATGTTGCTGAATACCAATTCTGATAACAGGGCTATGTGATAAATGACATTTAAATAGCATGTTTTCTTAATTTGGCAATCAATAATCCACAAAGATAAGGATCAGGATCAAGGAAATAAGAAGTACAGTGTTTTAGCATAGCTGAAACTTGCAGAATCATGGAATAGATGAAGTGGGAAGATGCATCAAGAGGTTGTCTAGTCCAACCCCCCTGCTTAAGGCAGGGTCACCAACAGCAGGTTGCTTGGGACCATGTCCAGTCAAGTTTTGAATATCTCCAAGGATGGAGACTCCACAACCTCTCTGGGCAACCTGTGTCTGACCACCGTCGGGGAAAGAAAAAAAAAAAAAATTTTTTAACATTTAAATAAGTTTTTCTGTGTTACAATTTGTGTCCAATACCTCTTGTCCTTTCAAAGACTCTGGCTACATCTTCTTTACTCCATCCCATCATGTATTTATACACAGTTATAAGATTGATCCCTCCCTGGATACCTCCTGCGAGAACCTTAAAGATGAAGAGTGTGTTGATTAAATCTGTGTGTATAACTCCATTCCATCTACAAAATCTGATCTCACACCTCTACAACACTGATGCAACTCTATTGAGTTAAATGCATTTCTTTCTATTTACACTGTTGAAGTGAGATATTGGTATCAGGTGTGTCTTGCTAATAACCACATGAAGTTTTAAATTTATTTCTACATATGTTCAGTGAGGTTTGCTGTTAACCACTCCAGTAGAAGTCAACTACAGAATCGCAGTGAAACCCAGACTGGAAGAAAAGGACAGAAAAAAAAGGGGAAGATAGACATTCACATTTTCAAAACCCTTAAATAAGAGGCGTTGTATAAGCTATAAACTGCAGTGTGCACCTCCTACATGCAACTATGACAAGCACGTTTCAAATAACCTTTGCAGCAGTTGTAAATATATTCAAAAAAATGTTTGTTAGCCATTGCTGCATTTTAGAAACTCTGAAAGTATGAATATTCAGCCTTAAGTTCATCATAGACTCCTCGGAAAAAAGCAGGTCATACCAAATAAAGTATATCCCTTAAAATAATTCCTTTTGCATTGCTGTAATATATTGTAGCTGACCTCAGTGTCATAGTAATTTGGCTATTACAAATATAAAGCACCTGTAGAAGGATATTACTGGTTATTGGGTTATTTAATACTGTTCTTAGCAAGAACACAGGTAGATATAAAAAAGAAAACAGCCATACTCTACAATTATGTTGAACTTCTAGACAAATAGGTCTCTATTCTTTTACAGAGTCATAAGGATCATTCAGACATGTTTGAAGGAAACTTCTTCATCCTACAGTTTAAATTTTGAAAGCATCGATGTATCTGCTTGATAATATTAAAAGAGCTCCTCAGAGACACTGTTGTAAACAGTTCCAACCATCAATTAAAAATCATTTAACTTTTCCCACATGCTTGTTTGCATTTATCTTTTGTTGTTCACTCTGAAGCTTTACATCCCATTGAAAAAGGCTTTATAATTTAAAAAGAAAAGACCTTTGCCTGTGAAATGTCTTGTGTACCAATGAAGAAAGAAAGAAAGAAAGGAGAAAGAAAAAGTTTGCTGTTTCTCATCATAGAAGTAGATCCAAATGTCTAAGGGATGGTACCTGGAGAAAGGGGTCATCTTTAAAAAGGAAGGGGTTTTTTTCACAAATAAACCTAGGAAGTCAGAACATGTGGATAGATACATTCTGGTAATTAACAAGACTACACACACCTCTGAGCTCATTTTCTTTTAGGGAAATACTATGAAAGAAGCCTTTGGCTATCAGAAGAAATTAATCAGGTGGGGCATTCTTACAATAACATCTGTCTGCAATGACAGCTTTACAAGTTAAATAAATAAACACTTGCTGGCATAGCCACACTGCTCTCTAGAAGGGGAGTGGCGAGATGAGACTCCAAGTCTTCATGGAATGTTTCTGCTGTCCATTGCCAAACAGGTTCCCAAGATCAGGCAAGTTTTGCCAGGTCCTTAACAATAGTTTTTAATTGTTACTACTTACATGGTCTAGCAAGAAGTTAAAATTTTAACTCAGGAATGTAATTTCTCAGGGGTTTGCAAACAGTGGCCAATAAATTACTGCAAACATCCATGTACTCTTCCTTGAAAGCTTCTGGGATGGCTGCCAGCAAGTTTCAGTGCACCAGACAGGGAGTGCAGGCATCACAAATGCTGAATGCCCGCTCATTCACAGCAAATGTGAATATTCCGAGTAGATGGAATACCTTCTCAAATAGCTGCTAATTTAAAGTATTCCCTGTGCTTAAACCCCACAATATTTCTTCCATCCTTCTTCAGTTGGAAGCCAAATTGTCTGTTGCATGCAAATTACACACATTCATTTCACAATCTAATTCAGATCTGCATCTGTACTCTTGTCCCTCCATGACAAATGAGATTTTCCCTTATGACATTATTGTTGGTCACTGCAGTGAAAGCTTTCCTTATTAAATGCTTTTTAAAAATGCTAGTGAAACTTGCAGCATATTATTTATCACTGGGATAAGCTGTTCAAT